TCACAATATTATACAACAATCACTGGCATCCATTTCCAGAACTTTTCATAATCTCTAGTCTGTTTTAAGTATGCCAAAACATAATGTAAATCTTCTATGGCACATGGTATTTTGTATGTTTACATACTCAATATACTTTTTTTCTTAATTAGTATAACTTACAACTGCTCCTTTTTTTTTCCTTTAATAAGGTAAGGCTAATATTAAGTTTTAAGAAGATAAAGAAAAAACAGATATTCATTTATTTTCAACTGATCTTATTACAGTTATATGTATTTTGAATTACATATTTATGTATCAATATCCTATTTTCTACCTTGGATTACTTCATTTATTTATTTATTTTTTCTTATTTTGAGACAGAGGCTCTCTGTGTCACCCAGGCTGGAGTGCAGTGGTGTGATCTCAACTCACTGCAACCTCTCACTTCTGGGCTCAAGTGATCCTCCCGCCTCAGCCTCCCAAGTAGCTGGGATCGCAGGCATGCACCACCACTCCCAGCTAATTTTTGTATTTTTAGTAAAGGGAGGGTTTCGCCATGTTGGCCAGGCTGGTCTTGAACTCCTGGCCTTAAGTGATCTGCCCGCTTCAGCCTCCCAAAGTGCTGAGATTACAGGCATAGGTCACCATGCCCGACCCTTGGCTTACTTTAGAAAAGTACAGTCTCTTTACTGCCCGTTAACCCTAACAATCCCTGTGAGACAGTCAGTGCATGGACGGCGATAGGCAATGAGAGGGAATAATAAGCATGAGCTTTGGAGATTAACAGACCTGTTTAAAACTCTACCTCTATGAACTTGTGTGGCTTTGGTCAAGTTACATAACTTTTCTGAGCCTCATTTTTCTCAACAGTAAAATGAGGCTGTAGTTCAGTTTGTGAGGATTAATAGAATATATGTGTGTGAAAAGGGTAGCATAGCATAGTATCTGGCACAGATACTTTTTTACAATGCTTTTTCCATTATGTATACAGAAAAACTGAGACATAAACATGAATGTATTCCTACACATTCATGGGTACAGGATGGATCCAGAATTCTTCTGATAATAGTTTGAAATCAAGTTTGTTCCACCCATAAATGTTGAGCAGCCTCAGGAATTTTTTCCCCAGAAGTTCATTTTAACTTTGAATTTAAGTCACATTGATAATAAGAAAATGTCTTTTCCCCTCCAGGTATTCCTCTGGTTGGTAACTTAAGAACAAGGCTCCTTGCACTTCATGTCCTTGAAGCTGTGCTGCCAGCTTGTGAATCTGGTGTAGAAGATGATCAAATGGCCCAGGTTTTTATTTTTAAAGTTATTAGAAGATGTTTTCCATATTTGCAAAATGATTCACCCAAATCTGTACTTAACAGTCTCTTCAGTTGTAAATGTGTCTTTTATTCAGTAGCATAACGTTTACTTTTAGGACTGCTTTCTTTGTTATTTCACCCCCAAGGAGAGAGCAAAAAATAAGTTATGGGGTGTGAGAAGTAGAGGGATAGAGAATACTCTGCAAGCTCAGAAGGAAAGAAAAATCTGGAATTTCTTACTAGGTTTGGGCCTCTATAGGAGGAAATATGTGAGAGTGTTTGTCCTAACTAGAGGTCTAAATAGTAAGGCAAAATGGGACCCACTTTCTTATGAGTTAATATTTCTTTTTTTTTTTGAGATGGAGTCTCGCTCTATTGCCCAGCCTGGAGTGGGTGCAGTGGCGCGATCTCAGCTCACTTCAGCCTCCGCCTCCTGGGTTCAAGTGATTCTCCTGCCTCAGCCTCCAAGTAGCTGGGACTACAGGCACATGTTACCATGCCTGGCTAATTTTTGTATTTTTAGTAGAGATGGGATTTCACCATGTTGGCCTGGCTGGTCTCAAACTCCCAACCTCAGGCGATCCACCCGCCTCAGCCTTCCAAAGTGCTTGGGATTACAGGCGTGAGCCACTGTGCCTGGCTTCTAATGGGTTACTACTTCTAAAAAGTGATATTTAACTTATAACCACTAAAAGTAGCTGTTGAACACTGGTATAATCAAACTTCACATGTGACTTAATATTACAGTTAACATGATACAGCTTTTCTAAAAATACTTAAAGTACTTTTTACAAATTTTATCCTTTTTTCTTCAATAAAATAGATTGTTGAGCGCTTATTTTCCCTTCTATCCGATTGTATGTGGGAGACACCCATTGCTCAGGCCAAACATGCTATTCAGATAAAGGAAAAAGAACAAGAAATAAAACTACAGGTAATTGGTTTTTCCTAAAAGGTATTTCTTAACAGCATAAGTGAATATTCTGTCACTTGTCTCTGAATGCCTGTTCCTCTAAGGCACCTTGTTCTATCATTTATTCCATCTCCTCTCTCAGCATTCTGTCTCCCTCTCCACTGATTCCCTCCCCTCAGCTTATAACCATGCTTAACTCATTTCTCCTCTCCTGAATCACATTTTTATCTGTGAAGCCTTCTCTGTCTTCTCCCTTGTCCTGCACTACTAAGCTTCTTAGAAGAGTAATCTGCATGTTTCAGTCACTTTGTTTCAGTCACTTTCTTCTTCTTATCTCTTCAACCCAACCATTTATCTTCTATCAAAATGCAAAATTAAACAACAAAGATAAGTGTTTGTTGCTAAATATAGTGTATCCTTTTTTTTTCCACTTCTTACTTTACTTCTGGAAACTCTAGCCTTCTGTTATTTTCAAAGCGCTTTCTCCTGGATCTCCTTATATTCTCTGCCAATCCTGATTCCTTTTGAAAGCAACTCTTTTTTGGTGCCACTTTTACCTTGCCTTCATCCCAAAATGTTGGTGTCCCACAGAGTTTGATCCTTAGCTTTTCCAGCAGTCTCATCCATATCCAAAGCAGGGGACCAATCAAAGCATGTTGATGCTTTGATATATGGTTTTAAAAAATCACTCTGCAGTGTCTTCCAAACTTAAATGCTAGCCTGGTGTCTCCCCCTCAAACCCTTCCCCCCGCCCCCTTTTTTGTCCCATTTCTGATTGAAAGCACCACCATTCACCTAGTTTCCCAAACCCAAATTCCTGGGAATTAGAGATTATCCTAATGTCCCCATGCATGTAGTCACTAGCCTCCATTGATTTATAGCTTGTGAATTCATCTCTCCATTTAACTTAATTCCTATCTTGGTTTTCATGATTCCACTTTTCCTGGTTCTCCTTCTACTTTGATGGAATGAGCTGTTCTCATTTTCCTTTATAAGTTCTTCTTCTTCTATTCAATCTACGTGTTGGATTAATCCCCATTCCTTCTCAAAGACACCTTATTCAGACTCATTAATCCCCATTTCTTCTCAAAGAAATGTTATTCAGACTCATTTAAGACTTGATTCCCAAGTTTTAAATTCAAGTTCTGGCATTTCTCCTGAATTCTACACTTATATCCCCATCTTCTACTAGTCTTATCACTTAAATGTCTAATAGGCATCTCATACTCAGTATGTCGAAAATGGCGCCCTTAGTTTAATCACATTCTGTTTCTTCCCCCAGGCTTTCCCGGCCTCCTAGTGAGTTACTCAAGTGAAAAACCTAGGAGTCATCTTGATTCCTCAGCCCCATTTCTCCATCCATACAATCTCTAGATTCTGTTGGCTTGTCTTTAAAATGTAACTTGAATTTGCCTACCTCCTCATCTCTTCTGTCATCACCCTATTCCAAGCCATTATCGTCTCTGGCCTGAACTATGCAGTAACCTCCTAACTGTTCTCTCTGCTTCCATTGTTATGCCCTAAAGTCCATTCTCTACACAGGGTCCAGAATGATCTTTTAAAATTGTAAATCAGAGCATGGTGGTCCCCTGCTTAAAATACTCCAATGGTTTCTCATCATTCTTGGGATAAAATCTAGGGTTCCTTGTCCTCTCCTCTTTGCTCACTATAGTCTAAACAACTTGCCTTCTTCTTCTTGTATTTCTTGAATACAGTAATCCTGCTCATTCCTTAGGGCTTTAAACTGGCTATTACCTCTAGATGTTTCTTAGAAATTTCTTGTCATTCAGGTCTCAATTATCGCATCTTCAGAGAGTCCTTCCCTAATCAATCTAGAGAGTTGCCACACACTGTTTGTCATGTCACCTGCTTTAATTTCAACATATCACTTAATCTTTGTATGATCTTATTTATTTTTTTTTCTCTCTCTCTTCCAAAATAAGTTCTATGAGAGCAGAGACCTAATACCCTGCTGAATATGGAGGACCTAATAGGATACCTGGCAGAGAATAGATGCTTAATAAATGCACATTGAATGAATGAATTCAGGCCCTCACAATTTTTTTTTTTTTTTTTTTGAGACAGAGTCTTGCTCTGTCACCCAGGCTGGAGTGCAGTGGCACGATCTCGGCTCACTGCAACCTCTGCCTTCTGGGTTCAAGTGATTCTTCTGTCTCAGCCTCCTGAGTAGCTAGGATTACAGGTATCCACTACCACACTTGACTGATTTTTGTATTTTTAGTAGAGACAGGGTTTCACCTTATTGACCAGGCTGATCTCAAACTCCTGACCTTGTGCTCTTTCCGCTTTTGCCTCTCGAAGTGCTGGGATTACAGGCGTGAGCCACCACACCGGGCCCCTTTACTATTTCTTACCTGAACTTGCAGCTGATTAGTCAGTCTCTCTGCCTTCATCCTATATACCCTTGGTAAAATGATATTTATAAAGCACAGATGTGATCAGAGATCTCCTATATACATCATTCTGTATGGGCTTCCCTAATGTCAGTAGAGTAAAATTCAAACAAGGACACAGAAGGTTTTCCATGATTTGATTTCTTCTTCTCTCTCTGGACTTGTTTTCAGCCAGTTTCGTCTTCCAGTCATTACATACTGCTTGTCTTTAAATCACTGAACTCTGTTGTACCTCTCTGCCTTGGAACATGCTGTACACATTGCCTCTTAAAATGCCTCTCTCCTTTGACCAGCTGCTTACTGCCTTCTCATCATTCAGGACTCAACTTAGAAGTCACCTCCTTTTGAACATTACCTTGTCCTTCTCAAGCATGGTTAGACACACTTTTATGTTTCTACTATACCTATTATGTAATTTTGGTTATTCTCCCACTGTAATACTAGCATTATGTATTTGTCTTCTGTCCACTAGTGACCTTAAGCTCTTTATGGGAAGGGACCATGCTCTATTTATCATTGTGTTCCTGTAGGCCTGCACAGTAACTGATTCATAGTAGATACATAATAAATATTTGTGGAATAAAACCAAGGAGCCTCAGAATGTATCTTACCTGAGATGTGGGTTACTCCAAAATACTGACCCAGCTTCTTTTCTGGTAGAAGCAGGGCGAGTTGGAAGAAGAAGATGAGAATCTTCCTATCCAAGAAGTATCCTTTGACCCAGAGAAAGCTCAGTGTTGCCTAGTGGAGAACGGACAGATTTTAACTCATGGCAGTGGAGGGAAAGGATATGGATTGGCATCTACAGGAGTAACTTCTGGGTGCTATCAGTGGAAGGTATGTAGAAAATCTAAGTAATTTTTAGCATTTTGTCTTTTAGTCCTTTTTTCCCCCAGGTTCTTATAATAAATGTGTAGAAAGACTGAAAAAAAAAAAATCATGATATGTAAATGTTCTATTATTATGTAAGATAATATAAATGGAAACCAAGTGAAGGATATACAGGAACTCTGTGCTATTTTCGTAACCCTTATAATTCTAAAGTTATCTCAAAATTTTTTTTTTTTGTTTTTTTTTTTGTTTGTTTGTTTTTTTTGAGACGGAGTCTGGCTCTGTCACCCAGGCTGGAGTGCAGTGGCCGGATCTCAGCTCACTGCAAGCTCCGCCTCCCAGGTTTACGCCATTCTCCTGCCTCAGCCTCCGGAGTAGCTGGGACTACAGGCGCCCGCCACCTCGCCCGGCTAGTTTTTTGTATTCTTTAGTAGAGACGGTGTTTCACCATGTTAGCCAGGATGGTCTCGATCTCCTGACCTCGTGATCCGCCCGTCTCGGCCTCCCAAAGTGCTGGGATTACAGGCCTGAGCCACCGCGCCCGGCCAAAAAATTTTTTTAATGGATGTTTAAAATCATGCTGTAGCCCTCCCATAAGGAGTCACACAGAACACATTTTCCTCTACCAATGAAAATGAAGCAACGTGTGTGATGTTTTTGTCTAGGAAAGCCCGTTAGAGATTCAGTGCCCACAGTTTTTATAGGGAACTGTTCATATTGGTACCCTCTGCCTGACATGTACTAAAATTTTAGGTTCCCAGAAGGAAAGCTAGTATTTAGCATAAACCATATTGTTCGTACAATCTACATACAATAAGCCAGCCTGTATCAGTTGGGTAAAATTTTTATCAGTATAGGGGACTGTTTACCAGCCAAGTTCCCCCATGCCAGCCAAGGGCCAACATTGCAAGCAGGCATTTCTAAGGATAGTAGTCTCTGTTGTGTTAACTCCTCCTTTTGCACAGTCTACTCCTTTATCTCTTGGGCATGGTGTATATACAGTAAAACTATCAGTAGGACCCCATGCAGCAGGATAAGACAGACCAGTAATATTGACTTCGCTTATGCCTTTTAAGGGTCCTAGACTTAGCCAGTTACAACAGATCTCATTAACCAACAGGTCTATCTTAAAAAGCCATGTGGCTTCATTCTTAAGCTTTTGTCTTAACTTTTAAAATGTAGATTAGGCATCATTTTAGCACAGGACAACTCTGGCCAGTCCAGGACTGAGGTATTATCATGATAAGGTGCACACACAAGAAATATAATCCCTTAGGGCATATGTGTTGTCCTTGGAAACAAAGAGTTTATAATTATTAGGGCATCTCTAATCAGAACATATAATAGGCAGCACAGGTTAACATGACACCAATGTCACCTGCCCCCATAGGGCCTCCCACTCTGTGCTCCCAGTTCAGTCTGAATAATTAAGTTGAGTCTTGGTTTCAGAGGGACCGTCTGAAAGCAGTCAGTTTTAAAGGATTTTGTTTTCTGTGACATCATTCCTATCTCAAGAGTATGGATGACATCTCGAGGTGTTCTGTGGAAATTGCAGGAACTGGAGCCACCCACTGTTGTCTTTTGACAGACTTGACAAATTTGATGAGAAGCTCAGCAGTCAGTTTGAATTTAAAGTGCTCACAGCAGCTTTTAAGACAAAATAGTTTTGTTTTCTTTTGTTTGTTTTTGTTGAGTTGGAGTCTCACTCTGTCATCCAGGCTGGAGTGCAGTGGTGGTCTGATCTTGGCTCACTGCAACCTCCGCCTCCCAGGTTCAAGCGATTCTCCTGCCTCAGCCTCCCAAGTAGCTGGGACTGCAGGCACCTGCCACCACGCCTGGCTAATTTTTTGTATTTTTAGTACAGACAGGGTTTTGCCATGTTGGCCAGGCTGATCTCAAACTCCTGACCTTGGCTTCCGAAAGTGCTGAGATTACAGGTGTGAGCCACCACACCTGGCCCAGTAGATTTTTTTTCCCCCTAGAAGATAGAGAACTTTTAGGAACAGTTCTGAAAAACAGATCATTAATGCCCTCCCTACTCCTCCATATTTTCCCAAGTCTTGAGTTTTTGTTTTTTCTCTGTATGAAATTGAGTGTCCCATTTAGTAATTACAACTTTAAATTTTTTAATTTTTAAAAATCATTTTTTATTTTTATTTAGACCTTTTGTCCAGAAGGATTGGATGCAAGAAGAAGAGTTTTCATACAAAAACATTTGCATATACAACTTAACCAGAAAGGTTAGGAATTGGCCAGGACAAAATTTCAGTTACTGTTTATTTTTTTCAAAATAGGTTTATAAAACTTTCTACGTCTTCATCCTAATCATTTATCCAGTGAGCAGTCTGGAAAAGATGAGTTTCTTTCTGGAAACAGTTTTATTTAATAAACTGCCTTATTGGTATGTGTTATCAGGAGAAAAGTGAGGGATGCAGAGTCAAATGAGCAGTCCCTTGTTGCAGACTGCAACTATTCTAGAAAGCTTAACATGTTGGGATGTCACCTAGGGGGTGTTGAGAGTACAATCTCTTAAAGAGTGGATGGAAGTATATTGCTCCCAGAAAACGAGCTCTTTTCATGGATACCTGCAAGAGACCTGGACAGTCCAGCCAGCATCCAAGATGTTTTTCAGACTTTGTGGCCCCACAGAGGGGGAGTGTTCCAAATCCACAACAGTCCCAGATTTTGAGTTGTGTTCATTCAGCTCGTGCCTGCTTTTAGCTGAGCACAACTCACTTTGGGTTGAAATAACCTAGAGCACACAGTGTCAGGTTTTAGCTTAGAGTCAGGTCCAGGCAATTAGAATGTGTGAGTTCAGGATTCCAAGCCATCAGCTTTTTGGGGCAGCAGTTAAATCTAGACGGAGCCAGTTATGGGGGCATGTGCCTGTAGTACCAGTACTTGGAAGGCAGAGGCTGGAGGATTGCTTGAGCCCAGGATTTTGAAGCCACTGTGAGCTCTTGTTTACACCACTGCATGCCAGCTTGAGTAACAGAAGGAGACCCCATCTCTTAAAAAAAAAAACAAACCCTAGATGGTGTAGGACCTGACAATAGTGTTTTAAGTCCAGCCTTGTAAACAAGGTTTTTCTAAGCTCTGTTTGCTTGTCAATCTTGGAGTCCAAATTGACCCACTCAAAAATATGTACCTAGGCTAGAAAGTCATCAGCCTGTAAGTGTTAGACATATGATTTTATAAGAACTCATTGGCCACTGAATGTTTTTTAAAACTAAAAGCACATCTCTATATCTCCATCTAGAGCTTGCCTCTCTTTTATTTTATCTCCATTTTCCCAGAGGCTCCAATAGGAAAAAATCATAGCAAAAACCCACCAGTTATAGACACTTGTTTTGTTTCTAAAATAGAGTTTAAATTCCAATCCACCCACCGGTGACAAAAAAGCAAGTAAGTTATGTCCCACTAATATGTTTTTCTTTTGGAGCTTTCTCTGATCAGGATGATACTTTAGCACTTATGAAGTTACAAGTTTGTAACATTTTGCATCTTAAT